CCTCCTATTTCCTCCTACTTCCTCCTGCTCCTTGATCCTCCCGCCTCGTCCTACACCCTCGCTGGTGAGGGCGCGCCGCGCACGCGCGTTCCGCGCGGATCACTGGTGCGCCTTTTGCCTCCCTCAGGCTTCCTGTGCTTCTTCCTACCCCCTCCGAGCTCCTCTTCCGTGTTCCTACCTGCTCATGCTCTTGCACGTTTCCAGTCCTTCCTATCGCCATGCTCCCTCTTTTCACCGTGTTCATTATGCTTTTCATTTTCCGCCCTCCTCACCTTTGCTCCGTTTCCTGCACCTCATCATCCGCGAATACGGATGCGGCTCGCTATTTTCGCCGCTTGCCCGATTACCCGGCCTTGATCAGGGCGACTCGCCTTGCGGTTGTTCATGGATTGGCTCGCGAGGATTTGAGCAACGCGTCAATGACTTCACCGGGCGTCTAGGTGTTATTGTTGGCGCCTGGGCGTTGCCGCTGGGGTTTACCGCGGGCCAGCATGACTAACAAGTGCAAGCGGCGCGTTGGCAGGCATTCCCCTTCCTGGAGACATCTGTCTGGTTTCGCAGTGACCTCCTTTCGCACTGCTCTTGTTTCTTTGCCTCCAGTTTGCGGTTGTATGTTTGTAGCCCTTGGCTGAGCTCCATCAGACGGCTATAATTCCGCTGCCCTCGCTCGATGTATGACCGCCCCCGCCGCAATGCTCGTGAACTTTCCGGCGGGCTGATCATTTGTGGTTTTGTCTGCAGTTGGACTGCGGGCGGGGCGCCGGCGCCGCTTATGCAGCGTTCCATTGTTCGTTTTCCTCTGAGGGCATCCGCAGTGGATTTTGCGCGCGTTTGTTTTTTCGTTGAGCAGATCAGTTCAATAAGATCTGTCGTTGTTCGGCACGAGACCACTAAAATGAAATGTGAGAAGGAAAAAATATCCACGCGTCCCTTCATAGCCCTTGGCGAAGCCAACGTCTTCGGATTTTCTGGAGAGGATCGAGGCGCGATGCGGCCTCCGCTGCGACTGCGCCAAGTGCGCCCGCTATGGGCCCCTCGGATGCCGGGGCGGCGTGGGCGGCGGCCGCCCGCGTGAGCGCTTTGGCCTCGGGTTTGTGGCGCCTGGGTTTTGCGGCGATGGTCTTGGTCTGGGAGTGGCGGCTGGCTCGCCGGCGTCGTTGAGGCAGACCCAGGGCTGGCCCGCGAATGGCAAGTGGAGAAGATTAGAGACTAGACGCGCCCATCAAGTCCAGGATCGAGAGCGCCAGGCGCTTTCGCTCTGGCGCGACGGCGGAGGAAGGGCGCCGCTGGGTTGGCAGCTGGGCGCCGCCGAGCAGCGGCGCGCGAGGAGCTCGCCGGCGCGCTGGAGGTGGAAGAGGTGGTGGTGCTGTTGGGCGTGGGCCGAGGCAAATGACCCGAACAAGGGCCAATTCGGCGCTGGAGCTTCTCTGCGCGGTTCTCTGCGCGGCCGGGCCTCCACCTCACCTCCTTGGCGACCCAATCCCATCGTTGGAAGGGAGGGGGGCAGGTTCCTGGGCGAGGTTCGGGCTCCTGCGCTACAGGGCCCCCGTGTTCGCCACCCGAAAAAGAGACATCGTCGCCTCCCCCTTCACTGCCATCGCACCGCTTGCAGGGCCGTGCCAAGATGCGTCCTTGTGTGCCAACGGGAATGTGGATCTTCTCGCTCCGCCCGATGCCACTGGCCTTCTGAGCTCAGGCGTTCGGCCGGTTTTGTACAACCCACCCACCACCCTGGATCATCACCTTCATGGGAGCTACACGCTTCCGTTTCTGCCACCCATGCAAAAAAACAAAAGAAAACTCAATGTCACCCCCTTTTTTTCGTTATCGCACCTCTTGTGGGGCGATCCGAGGATACAGAAGGATATCGCTAGACCACCTTCGCCCAGAGGGCTGGTGGGATATTCGTGCGGGGCATTCGAAGGGCTTGCTGTTGTGCCACGGTGGCGGTGTGCAGCTCGGGCGCGGCGCAAGGACACCGTGTCGAGGCGTGCAGAGGTGAAACGGGTGTAGGATGCCGCTTACGGCTGCGGCATTAGCGGCCGGAGCGCGTGCGTTTTGGTTTCTCTCGGGCCACTGCGTCCCTTGCAGAGATGGCATCATGACGGCCCTCGAGCCCGCGAGGGTCAACGTGGCCCCCAGACGGCCCCATAGGCCCCCAAAAGGGCCCCAAGAGGTTTGTTACACTCCCCGTGCTGCGGTCGAACCTAAGCGCGCGAATCGTGCGCGTGGTATGCAGATGTATAAATAGGTTTGCCAACGCGGACCCGCAACACTGTGTTTTTTATCGGTATGTGTTGTGCAGCGTATGTGGAACAATGTACGTTACGTGGTGCGTTCTGTGATACATATACGTGTATATAACCTCAGGAAGGCATTAAGAACCCCCCCCCCCCCCCCCCCCCCGTTTTCCGGTGGATTATAACGCCCCGCACCCTGGAGCGTTATGGCTGCACCGGAAAGACCTGGCCTCGTAGTAGTTAGTAGTAGTAGTAGTAGTAGTAGTAGTAGTAGTAGTAGTAGTAGTAGTAGTAGTAGTAGTAGTAGTAGTAGTAGTAGTAGTAGTAGTAGTAGTAGTAGTAGTAGTAGTAGTAGTAGTAGTAGTAGTAGTAGTAGTAGTAGTAGTAGTAGTAGTAGTAGTAGTAGTAGTGGCAGGGCTTAGCAGGGCTGAGCAGGATTTACTAATTTCATTCCGTAGTCCGGGTGCTAAAATAACGCCTCGGTGCGGGGCGGCGCCATACCCTCGGGTGGACTCCCCCCTAGGACAGCCGAAAAAATCGATTTCTTTAAAGGAATTGTCAATGGAATCGCATAGGAAAAAAAGGAGGAGAGTAGTAGTAGTAGTAGTAGTAGTAGTAGTAGTAGTAGTAGTAGTAGTAGTAGTAGTAGTAGTAGTAGTAGTAGTAGTAGTAGTAGTAGTCGTAGTAGTAGTAGTAGTAGTAGTAGTAGTAGTAGTCGTCGTAGTAGTAGTAGTAGTAGTAGTAGTAGTAGTAGTAGTAGTAGTAGTAGTAGTAGTAGTAGTAGTAGTAGTAGTAGTAGTAGTAGTAGTAGTAGTAGTAGTAGTAGTAGTAGTAGTAGTAGTAGTAGTAGTAGTAGTAGTAGTAGTAGTAGTAGTAGTAGTAGTAGTAGTAGTAGTAGTAGTAGTAGTAGTAGTAGTAGTAGTAGTAGTAGTAGTAGTAGTGGCAGGGCTTAGCAGGGCTGAGCAGGATTTACTAATTTCATTCCGTAGTCCGGGTGCTAAAATAACGCCTCGGTGCGGGGCGGCGCCATACCCTCGGGTGGACTCCCCCCTAGGACAGCCGAAAAAATCGATTTCTTTAAAGGAATTGTCAATGGAATCGCATAGGAAAAAAAGGAGGAGGAGAAGGAGTAGTAGTCGTAGTAGTAGTAGTAGTAGTAGTAGTAGTAGTAGTAGTAGTAGTAGCAGTAGTAGTAGTCGTTGTCGTAGTAGTAGTAGTAGTAGTAGTAGTCGTAGTATTAGTAGTAGTAGTAGTAGTAGTAGTAGTAGTAGTAGTAGTAGTAGTAGTAGTAGTAGTAGTAGTAGTATAGTAGTAGTAGTAGTAGTATTAGTAGGAGTAGCAGTAGTAGTAGTAGTAGTAGTAGTAGTAGTAGTAGTAGTAGTAGTAGTAGTAGTAGTAGTAGTAGTAGTAGCAGTAGCAGTAGTAGTAGTAGTCGTTGTCGTAGTAGTAGTAGTAGTAGTAGTCGTAGGCGTAGTAGTAATTGTAGTAGTGGTAGTCGTAGTAGTAGTAGTAGTAGTAGTAGTAGCAGCAGTAGTAGTAGTAGTAGTACTAGTAGTAGGAGTATGAGTAGGAGTAGGGGTAGTGATAGTAGTAGTAGTAGTAGTAGTAGGCGTAGTAGTAGTAGTAGTAGTAGTAGTAGTAGTCGTAGTAGTAGTAGTAGTAGTAGTAGTAGTAGTCGTAGTAGTGTGGATTTTGTTTTCTGTGTGCGGCGGGTGCTAAGTGTATCGTTCGGCTAAAACTGCCCGCCTGGAATATTGAGAAAACCGGGTGCTAAGAATAACCCAGGGGGGTTTCTTAATGCCTTCCTGAGGTTAATGGTGTATATTATGTTTATCGGTATACACATCTGGATATATACGTCGTGCACTGCATGCCGTGCGACTGACGTTGTGCAACTCCGGTGGTGCAGTCGATTTTGTGAAATACATGATGTGCGATCTATGGTGTGTTATTTATGTGGTGTCATCTATGTGGTGCAAGTTGTGCGGTGTAATGTATGTTGTGCGATGTACGTAATGCATTCGACGTGGTGCGACCTACGCGGTGCAATCTACGTGGTGCAATCTACTTGGCGCAAGCTATGCAATGCGATCTATGCGGTGCGATCTATATTTGACAATTTCTGTTGTGCAATATATGTGACGCAGTCAATGCAGTGCAACCTTCGAGGTGCGATTTATGAGGTCAACGTATGCGGTGCAATCTTTGCGGGGCATAGCCGCCGGACCGAAGACACGGCCCACACGACGGGTGGCGACGAGGCGGCGACGGGACGGCGACGGCGGCAACGTAATTGCCAGACCGAAGACACGGCCCTGCTCCTCAGAACGCAAGTGCTTTTAAGTACAAACATTAGTTGGGGAATCTACGCAGACGCGCAGGTACGCCGTCCGCTCAGGAGTTGCAACAGCACGTACGCAGAACCTCGTTCCCGATTCCCACCATGGCCCATGTAGCCCAACACATGTATTTATGTAGACCCATGGGGTCTCTCCGCCTTTCGGTGTGCCCTTGCTCCCCCTGTTCTCCCGCCTTCCCCTTCCGCCCTTGTGCCCACGTTGCGTTGATTCGCCCTCATAGCTGGCCTTTGCACGGAGCCTGTGGCGGCGGAACATTGTGCAAGACAGTCCCGGCCTGCCGTTTGGGATCTTTGGCCGTACCCTGACCGCCACGCGTCCGTGCCTGGCTCAAGCTGGACAGAGCTCCCCCTTCTGAGCCGACCGCGTGGGATCACGCGGCGTCCCCAGCGGGCCCTCGCCGATGTACGCCGCCGGGGGGGGCCATACAGTTCTGCTCACGAGCGATGGCACGGCCGTGGCCTGCGGCGGCAATCATGAGGGCCAGTGTGACATCCCAGCGCTGGCCGCGGGCCTGAGTTACATGCAGGCTGCCGCTGGATTTCGGCACACAGTTCTGCTGAGCAGCGATGGCGCGGCCTTGGCCTGCGGCAACAATGAGCAGGGTCAGTGCGTCATCCCATTGCTGGATGCTGGCCTAGCTTACACGCAAGCCGCCGCTGGATATGGTCCTACAGTTCTGCTCAGGAGCGATGGCAGTGCTGTGGCCTTTGGCAACAATGATGAGTGCCAATGTGACATCCCAGATCTGAATGATGGCCGTACTTACGCGCAGGCTGCCGCTGGAGGTGGCCATACCGTTCTTCTCAAGAGCGATGGCGTGGCCGTGACGTGTGGCGACAATGAAAGGGGTCAGTGCGACATCCCAGCGTTGGGAGCTTGCCAGAGTTACACGCATGCAGCTGCCGGAGGTGGTCATACTGTTTTGCTCAGGAGCGATGGCGCTGCTGTGGCCTGCGGGAACAATGATGATGGTCAGTGTGACATCCCAGCGTTGGCCGCGGACCAGATTTACACGCAGGCTTCTGCTGGAGGTTACCATACAGTTTTGCTCCGGAACGATGGCACAGTAGTTGCCTGCGGCGAAAATTATTCGGGCCAGTGCGACATTCCCGTGTTGACCGCGGGCCTGACGTACAGGCAAGTTGCAGCTGGAGATGGCCATACCGTTCTGCTCAGAAGCGATGGCACTGCTGTTGCCTGCGGCAGCGATTTGAGCGGCCAGTGCAAAGTCCCGGTGTTGGCCACAGGCTTGTTTTTTGCCGCCCATTTGTTACCAACGTTGCTCTTGCAGGCCTCACTCGTTGACGGAGCGATCTGTTTCGCGACACTGGGAGGTGAGGAACGCTGCCGATTCAGGGCAGGGCCCTCCGCTCTCCTGACAGGGATCTGAAGGGCTGCGGTCTCTGCCGCCGCCCCACCTAAAGCCAAGCCATCATGGGGTTATGCTTATCGTCTCACCAATCGCCATCTCCATTGGGCCATGTTTTCTCAGCCCCACGATCCCACCACCCCAAATTTGGGATATGCTCCGCGAAACCCGACGGGAACAGCATGCATTCCCGTGTAGTGGGTTCAGTCGGCCAGTGTGGCCACGGCCGCGTTAGTGGGGATAGGGATCGGTTGAACGATGGCCAGGTTATCTTGAGACGTCATGCAGCCCTGTTTTTTTCTTCGTTTTCGTTTTCCTATCTGTCGGATTCATGTTGTTGAATCATCATGTCTGAAGAATAATTAGTGTTGATTCCCCCCCTGCTGGTGCGTTTGTGTTGAATTCTCAGTATCGAATCCGTATTTTTGATCCCCCCCTTCCGGGGCACACTGTATGTTTCGATTGAAGTGCCCTTTCTGGGGCTCGCACCCTGTTTTTTACATGGGAGGGTCTTGCGCCTCAGATGGGCCCCTGGCCCCCATTTTACATCAAGAGCGACTCCACCTTGACATGTCTTGACACATGTACTCAAAATTGCGTTCTCGCGCGGGACGTCCTGACATTTTACAGAGGAATCGTGCTCTCGCGTGGGACCGCCTCGCAATTCATTGAGTCGCCGCGCCCTCGACACTCAGGAATCACTTATCCGAGTGATGGGGCCGAACGGTCATTCATTGTCCATCGGTGCGTGGCTGAATAAGGAATTCGTGGTGGGAATTATGTTTGTTGCGTTGTTGTTGTTGTTGTTGTTGTTGTTGTTGAACTCTCATTTCTAAAGAATCATTATTGTTGATATCCCCCGTCCGGTTCCACATTGTTTTTTATCAAGGAAAGTCTTGACGGTCAAACTCCGTAGTTGGCCCCCGGTTTACAACAACAGCGGCTCCCGCCTGATATTTCTGTACAGTGTATTGTTGAAGAATCGCGCTCTCGCTTGGGACTTCCTTGCAATTTACCACCAGATCGCGGTTCCCGCTTGATAGTTCCTCGCAGCTTATTGAAGCATCGCGCTCTCACTTGGGGCTTCCACGCTCCTCTCGACACGGTTGCAGTTCTCATTATCCTTCCGCCCCGCTCTCCCAACATCCCGCTTTTTTTCAGTGTTCCACGAGATGGCTTTCGGACACCACTTCGCAGCTGCACTTCCCCCCGTGGGGGTTTCCATTTGTTTCTTTGTTGTCCTCCCTTTTTTTTCAAGGGGGTGGTACGTGGCGCTGTTTATGGCGCGACCCATGGCGAATCTTACTGTTAACATGTGTTGGAGTGGCTGGCGTAAGCCATGGCGCAAGCTGAATCGCCATTCGCAGTGCAAATCATCGTCCTCTCTCTTTCTTGCCCCTCCCCACCCGTCCTCCAGTCCTTTCGTCCTCATTCCCCCCCGCTGCCTGTTACTTTTGGTTTTCAAGGGCTTCACCAACCACGCGTGGCACGGGATGAATATACCCCCAAAAGGGAACCACGATCGAAGACGAAGACGTCGGGTATCCAGGGTTTGGCGTGCATATTGAATGACGCGCGAGCAGATGACAGCGAACAGTCTTGCCTAGAGGATAATTATTGTTGGTCGCCCCCGCCGGTGTATATGGTTGTTTTTCGATCAAAGTGTGCCCCCCGACGCTCGTTCGGAAACTCTTGAGGTTCAAAGTGGGCCCCTGGCCCCCGGGTTACAACAACAACGGCTCCCGTATGCAACTTCTTTACAATTTAGCCAGGACCCCCGCTCCCGCCCGAAACGTCCTCACATTTTATTCATGAATCGCGTTCGCTTGGATTTCTTTTTGATTTATTCAGGAATCGCTCTCCTGGCGCCCTGGAGTCGCATTCTCGCTTGCTGGCCGTTTACTGAAGAAGAGCGCCTTTTCGTTGGAATATCATGCGATTTACTCAAGCGCCGCGCTCCCGCCATCCAGGCACCCAGGAATCGCCCTCACGCTTAGGACTCCCCCACATAAAACATAGGAATCGGGATTTCGCTGCCCTTCGCGGCCCCGTTGCATCCCTTCGTGGCCCCCTCGCTTTGTTTCGTGGCCCCGTTGCAGCCCTTCGTGGTCCCCCTCGCTGCCCCCCGCGGCCCCGTCGCAGCCCTTCATGGCCCCGTTGCAGCCCTTCGTGGCCCGTTCGCTGCCGTTCGTGGCCCCGTTGCATCCCTTCGTGGCCCCCTCGCTGCCCCCCGTGGCCCCATATATGTATGCCCTTCGTGGCCCCCGCTCGTTCGCGCCCGTGGTGGCCCCATATGCATGCCCTTCGTGGCTCCGCTGTTGCCCTTCGTGGCCCCCCCGCTGTCCTTCGTGGCCCCGTTGCTGCCTTCAGTGGCCCCGTCCTTGCCTTCCGCGGCCCAGTATACGTATGCCCTTCGTGGCCCCCGTTCGCTCGCAACCGTTATGGCCCCATGTGCATGCCCTTCGCGGCCCCGCTGTCGCCGTTTGTGGCCCCCTCACTGTCCTACGTGGCCCAGTTGCTACCCTCAGTGGCCCCATTGTTGCGTTCTGTGGCCCCGCATTATCTGCCCTTCGTGGCCCCCGCTCGTTCGCGCTCTTCGTGGCCCCATACGCATTTCCTTCGTGTCCCCGCTGTCGCCCTTCGTGGCCTACTTCGTGTCCTTGTGGCCCTGCTGTCGTTTTGTCTCGCTCTCGCTTTCGCTCGTCGTCGTCGTCGCCGTCGTCGTCGTCGTCGCCGGCGTCGTCGACGTCGTCGTCGTCGTCGTTGTCGGTCCCCGGTCCATCTTTCTTGGGGTCGGGTCGACGGTCCACGGCCGCCCCGCCGATCAGCGCTGCCGCTGGCCAGGCCGACAGTCCGCGGATGCCCCGCCGCTTGCTGGGGCCCCGTTTGCACGGAAGACAGGTATACCCTCCAAAAAGGGTTCGATCGAAGACGAGGAGGGCGGGTGTCGAGGTATTGGGAAATATTCGTTATTGGACTCGGATAAGGGCGAACAGTCTTAAAATGATTGTTGCTGTCGGTGTTGGTGTTGGTGTTGTTGCTGGTGGCGTTGTTATTATAGTTGTTGTTGTCGTTGTTGTTGTTGTCGTTGTTGTTGTTGTTGTTGTTGTTGTGGTTGTTGTTATTGTTGTTGTTGGGTTTTTTTTTGCAAAACAGTTATCTTGGTGGACGCCTTACAGGCGGCCTAGCACTCTCGTCGAGGCACCGGCTGTATTTTCATTGAAAATGAAGCCCGCTCTGAAGCGGTTGGGGGGGGCGCCAGAACCGGCCCCCCCAACAACAACAACGCTCCCTTTCGAGATCTCCTCCTTTTTTACTCAGGGTTGTTGCTCTTGCTCGCCGCCGACAGCAACCGTCGCAACAAAACCATTGTTCCCGCTCGAGACTTCCTCCCGTTTTACGTTGGCAAGGCGCTGTCCTTTTTCTCTCATCGGCGCCGCCCCCCAGCAACAATGCTCCCGCTCGAGTTGTCCTCCCTTTTTTACTCAAGGCGGTGCTCTTGCTCGCCGCCGACAACCCCCGTCCCGACGAAACCAGCGCTCCCGCCCGCGACTCCCCCCCGTTTTACGCAAGACTTGTGCCCTTTTCTCCTCCTCCTCGTCCTCGTTTTCCTCCCCCACCCCGTCCTCCTCCTCCTCCTCCTGTTCCTTCTCCTCCTCCTCCTCCTCTTCCTTCTCCTCCTCCTCCTCCTCCCTCCTCCCCCTCCCTCCTCTTCCTCCCTCTTCCTTCCTCCGCCCGTTCCTCTTCTCCCTCCTCCCTCATCCGTTCCTCTTTCCTCCTTCCTCCTCCCTCCCCGTTTCTCCTCCCTCTCCTCCACCTTTTTCTCCTCGTCATCCCTTTTTCTTTTTCCCCTCCTCCTCCTTTTCCTCCTTTTCCCTCCTCCCTCCTTCCCCCTTCCTTTTTCTTTCTTTTCTTCACAATTACTCAATATGAGTACTACTTTCCCGCTTCCCCTGATGACGGCTTGAAAGTGCTCGATCCTCCCCCCCGCGTATTGTTTTTTACACATAGGTTTCCCCGGAGTTGGGTTTTCGCTTGCATGTTTTCAAAATGCTGCTCTCGCTGAGGCGCCGGCCTCATTTTCGGGCACTGCTCGTTCCGAATCGCGCTCCCGCTGCAGCGGTGGCCTCATTTCCGTGCTTCCGCTCGTTTCGACATCCGACTGTGCGAGTAGAGAGGGGATCTGCGCCATGGTAATGGATGGGAGGGACGGGTAGGATGTCAGATATGACGCGAGCGCACCTAGCTTGCCTCCACCTTCTCTTCTCCTTCTTCCCTCCTCCCTCTCCGGTCCTTCTTCCCTCTCCTGATCCCCCCTCCTCTGTCGTCCTTTCCCTTTTCGTATCCCTTGTCCTCCTGCCTCCCTTCTCCCTCCTCCCTCCCTCCTCCATTCCCCTTCCGTCCTCCTTCGCCGCTCCTGTTTGACACTTCCTTATGTTTCACTCGGGACTGGGGCCCTCGTTTCGGCATCGTTGTTGGGGGTCTTCCAAGAATCCCCGTTGAACTTTCATCGTTGAATCATTATCATTATTGGATAGCATAAATTGAAGTGGAGGAGGAGGAGAAGAAGGAGGACGCATGATTTCCAGGTTTTCCAAGGATCGAGGGTCGACGGGTTGACTTCAGGGATTCCTTGAGAGGGCGTGGAAGGGGCAGGTGGAGGATGCGAGCACGGGGGCGGCAACGCCCGGGGGCGTGAACGCTCAGGGTCACGCGCAGAGGCCGCAGGGTGGTGGCGCAACAGTTCGAACGATGAGTAGGAACCACATAGTCCTCGGTGGTACTGCAACTTACACCACTCCTTCCTCCCCCCTCCCCCCCCCTCCTCCTCCCCCATCCTCCTCCTCCCCTCCCTTTTCCTCTCCCTCATCTTCCCCCCTCTTCGTGCTCTTCCTCCTCTTCCTAGATGCGGGGCGTGCCCGGGGCGATTGCGACGGCGACGCGCCGTCCGCGCTGTGGATGTCGAAGCTCCTCGGGGGAGGTCGTGGCAATGCGTTCTTTGGCGGGGGATCTG